AATCCCCACAACTCAAAACAAAAAACCCACACCAAAACACCAAACCCATGCCAAAATTGGTTCTATCTACTTCTTGCACTCTCAGTTTTTAAATGTGACTTCTGGAGGTTCTGGAAAATGCATGTTTCCTGTCTGCAAATGGTACCTTTGGAACTTACTGTATTTTTACTTCAAAGCCACTGTCTACTAGATTGGAGAATAAGATATGGAGACTAATGTCCTGGGAGTAACTGGTGATGGGGCGATGTCTACGAACATGTTCAGGACAGACAGTGAGTTATAAAGCTAGAAAGAAGAATAGGTCGTGGGGCAGGGAATTCTGTGCAAAAAAGGCAAGAAAGATAAATATGGACTTTTACTTTGCTCTGTCTGTGTTGGTGGTACTCTGGGAAGGGTTATGGTGGATGAACACTAAATTTTGTTAGGGCAAATTCTTTTATTTTTTTGAACCAAAAGCTGTTTTACACATAAGTGAATTCAGCGATTTCAGACCTTGTTGTTTGAGAAACATTGTACACACACAGAGTATTTCCCACTTTCTTGAGCCATATTTAAAAACTAAAAGTAAGTGAGGGGGGGGAAGGCTGTGTGGAAGAGTAACTGTATTTTCAGACATACGGAATGATCTAAGGGCTTAATTTCAAGAAGGAATGTTTAGTCATATGTGTAAGCCCATTGGCAGCCCTTGTATCAAAGAAAAAAACAACAAAAACTGCTGCTTGTGTTAATTAAGATGCTTTTAAGAGTGCGCAGATAAAAGCAACATTATTCTCAACAGGCATTAGGTATAGCCAAAACTCCTTGGCTTTCTGATTAGTAGCAGAAAATGTGATGGAAAGCCACACTCAAATGTAGTTGACTCAGTGATTTTTGGGTAGGTTTGGGAACCGATGGGTTGTATGTGTTCAGATTAAGATAAAGTTCTTTGATCTGCATTTATTTTATTGGGCCTGGTTGAATAGGGTGCACATATATATAGCAGAGTGGAATGGGTTAATCCACAAAAGGCTTTTTAAACTTTTGAACTTTGACAGTGAAGTTCTACTATGATACAAAGAAAATGCCATGCTATTTGTTATTGGGATTTGTGTTCTGTTTTCGGGTTACTTCTTTTATTCATACAACTGTATTTTATCTTTTGTAGGAAAGAATTAATACTGTCTGGCACTTTAAATCCACTTAAAGATTTGCATCTTGGAAAACTCGCATTAACCAAGTTTCCAAAGAGTCCAGAAACATGGATTCATAGGTTTGTTTCCCTTGCCTTCTGTTGCCTCCCCAAACTTAAACTTTTTTCCTAGGGTTTTTTTCCCCTGTGCTTGGGTTAAGGAGAGCCATAGATGAAGGAGGACATCTAGAAATACAGCAGATTCTTTGAGCCAATCATTGTAAAATACTGTGCTTTGGCTTTGAAGATACCTGCCTATATTTTATACTTAGAAGTAAAATCATATGCACCTTTTTTTCTGCATATTTTTAAATAACATTTGGAGGTGGGATAAATTTTCCTAAAGGTTTATCATGTCTTGCAGCACCTAAAATTCTCAGCCTGAGAATTCAGATTCCATCAATAGTAAGTATCTGAGCATTGTGGGTTTCTCCCTTTTTCCCTCCTCCAACTTACTATGATATTGCTTGTCTACAGGCATTTCAGAAAGGCAAGAATCTGTAAAAGCTAATCTTTATAACCAAAGTTGGGTTCTTTTCCATTCCAATATTGGTCTTTTTGGTTTCATGGATTTATTTGTATCATTTTTAACTTAAGCAATGTCATTAAGTCACCACTACTAAATATTAAAATAACAGAGCACATTTTTGGAAAAGATAACTCCAGAATTACTCAAATGCACAAAGCTAACCATCTCAGTCATGACTGAGTGCACATAAAATGCCTGTAGCACAGCCAAGTGAAGTATAAATCCATTGCTCAACTTTGGTTAAAAAAAAATTAAAATCTTGGTATGTGTGTGATTTTCTTTATTTTGTATTTTTCACAGGGTAACTCATCCTTTTATAGACAGCCTTAAAGAGATTTCATTGTAACACATTAGAAAGCAGTTCACAATGCTTGCATTTTCATGTGTCCAGCATTAGGACAACTGTAAAGCTGATACCCCATTAGGGGACTCATACTATCAAAAACAGAAGTAAAGCTTCAGTTGTACTGATAATATATGAATTTTTGGAAGAAGGAGTTGTTGATAAACTCTTCTTTGTGAGTGCATGACCTTAAAATTCTCAAAGTTAACCTAGAATGTAATACATGGAATATTCCTAGGCGTTTCTTAACTTATAAGCAGCTAATTAATTTCTGTTAATTTCTTTCTTAGTAGCATTGATACAGCAACAATACTGATGAATTTCTGCAAAGTTGGTTTTTAATTTTGTTGTTCTTCAACTGCTTTTCATCATCTCCGTGCTACTCACTCATGCTGCTTGATTGTTTTGTTTGAAGCAAAAGAGTATGTAGAAATAATGGGAAAAAATCTTGCAGTTTGTCATGGTTTAGCCTTTACTACATGGTAGCTAACACCGGGAAACTATGATTTTTTTGCATGTAACTAGAGCTTAACCTGGTGCCATCCATATGATTATGATGAGCAATACATTTTTATTAAATTAGTCAGGATGGTAGGTTCTTAATATTTATTTACATCTTAGAAGTAACAAAAAATTCTCTCTATAATGTCTGTGCAATCTTAAATTAGGAGTATTTTAATAGTGTTATAATTTGTTGTTCTTTCTCATATTTGCCTAAAACAAAAAAGTGTATTTGAGGATGATTGTACAAATGTTTGGCTTGTATTTGGATGTGCTGACCGTGATTGATACATGTTAGAAAAGAAGATCTGCAAAAATTTTCTTTCTGCATCAGCATAGTGATTAATCTTGTGTTTTCTGTTCCCCCATGATACCAAACTTCAGAGAGAAGTGCAAAAAAATAGAATGGGGCAATTATAAAATTCAGTAGAGCAATATCCAAATATTTTTTTTCTTACACATGGCAGATACACTCACTAAAGATATCAAAATACCTGTCATACACTTTGCTATATGGCCTTTTGCTATATGTTTTGGGGGTTTCATAGAAACATACATACAGTGACAGAAGAAATTGAATTTCTTTTCTCCAAATTTATTGGAGAAAATGTTCTCTTAAAAGCCTCTGAAATAATACCATGATATTCAACAGGTACCAAAAATACATTTTAAATCTTCTGAGGCTGTGCTCGTCTTTCTTTCCTCCCATGCAAAAAGTCCAGAAAATAGCTCAGATTTCATTTTATAATTTTTTTCTTTTGTTGTAGCCACAGAAACTATAAAATCTGTATTTTTTCATAAGCTCCTGTATATAAAATTCATCTGAATTAATTATTTTATTAAAAAAACCCTCATTTTAAGAAACTGAAATAATTTTAGGATCAAAATAATTTGTCTTTGTATGGTTTTACTCAGAAGTTAATGCAATAATACTTATCTTTTGTTAAAGGAATGACTCTCTACTCATTTAGCTTTCATGCCTAGACATTTTAGAATTTCCAGTTTATTGCAAATCTGCTGATTGAAGTGAAGAAGTACTAGATGGTGATGTTTGAATCAAAGACATTGTTAAAAAGCAAAAATTAAGTCTTCAAAATTACTACCTTTCATAAAATAAAGTTACACAACAGTCAAAGAGCATGGTTTGTTTGGCTGTACATCTTTAGTTAAAACAAATGTTACATAGGAAGGCAGTGTATGAATGCTGTCTTCAATCCACTGCTTATGATTTCTGCTGAGAAATGCAGTCAGGTTAAAAATTGCATTCTTATAAATGATCTTTCATACTGTCTTCCAATAGTTTAAATCTATTTTTAAAATAACTAAGAGAAAAAGACACAGTGTAAATAAAAAATACCAGTACAAAAGAATATTCTAAATGTTTTCAAATGAGAGAAAAGGCAGATGGATTACCAGATTTTTTTTTAACAGTGGTTGGCTTATCTATTTTTTATTTTATATGTATATATGCAATTTTATATATGAATTGCAAAATAGATTTCTCTTTTTAAAGATTTTTTTAATTATTATTTTATTTTTATTGATTTCTCTTAACCATGAGTGACACCTGAAAAGTAGCGATTAATTGGTTTTGGAACTAATGTGAGCCAGTACAAAAGAGAAGGACCTCTCTGTTGCAGAGTGGAGGATGTCCAGCTTTCCAGAGCATTCCACATGGGCCCATTGCAGTTCTCGTGACACATGCAGCTGCGTCGAAGTCTGCACATCTGTGATCCCTTTTTGTAGGACCCTTTTGTGTAGGGTCTGCAGATGCACATTTTCTGCAGCATTGAGGACACCTCTCAAAATACTCATGTAAAAATACTACTAAAATACTACTAAAAGTCAGTCCAAAGTAAAATTTAAAAGCCATGTAGGAATCTGTGCTTATCTCAGTCACTTCAAATCAAATACGTATAACTCACAGTAAAAACATTTGTTTTGGTTATATGTATAGCCCTTGAAACCATAAGTCTTTTGCACTTTATTTCTGCTGGTGGTGTACAGAAACTTAATTTGGCTTGCTGTGTGCAGTACTGACAAATGTAAAAAATACTCCCAAAGCACAGTTAAATTTTTTTTTTACTGAATCACTTTTTTCTGTCTCATTTTGGATGCTTTATTTTAGTGCTATACAAGTCTGAAAGAGGAGCTCATTAGAAATCTCATGCAGACAGTTCTTGTGTTTTTTTCCATTAATTTGCTGTTTCCTTCTGTTTTCTTTTAGTTTGCTGTAAGTAGCCATGACCACTTACACTGTGCGAACGAACAAATACAATAGACTTAAATTATTTTGGAGTGTGATCATAAAGTCATAGCTTTCAGTATGGGAAGAGTTCAGGTGGTTATGTTTACTGCTTACTCATCATCTAGTTACAGTGTAGTTCAGATAACTGAAATAACAGAAAGGTTTCATTGATTTATATAAATGAAAAAACATTTTTTTTCTCTTAAAATTTCTCTCTCAACATTAACACTGTACATCGTTTAACCAGACGATGGGTGCTGCAACAACTAATTCAGGAAAACTCCTTGCCCAGTCTTGTGACTAAAGGAAACTTGGGAGCAGCACCTGTGGAGAGAATTCACCGACTAGTGCAGGAGGAAATGAATGTCTGCTCTGAAGCTGCTGGGAGATATCCAAGCAACTACAATGCCTGGTCCCATCGCATCTGGGTTTTACAGCATTTGGGAAAGCTGACTGTCAAGGTATAACACAATAGTGAATAAAGTCTTAAATTTCCTTGTCTAAAAAAAAATAAAAAATACTGGTTTGCCAAGCAGAGCCTATGACATGGAGGGAGAGTGTCATATTAAGTTAGCACAGGTAGCTAAGAATGCTTTAAAAAAAAAGGCAAAATATTGCAATGAGTATGTTTTGCATTTTTCTTGCCAGTGTAAGCAGGTTCTGCTCAGCAGAAAGAACAGATTTTTTCTTGCCCATATACAAAGTTCTGTGTATCTGTTGGTACTTAGTATTAATGAAATTGTGGCAGGAGGATAGATGGGACTGTGTGAGCTGAAATAAAGAAGGGACGACTGGAGATAATTCTTCTAACACTAATCTGGAAATTCCTCATAGAGAAGAAGATAATACATGACAGATACTATTTTGATAATGTAATGTGATGTCTTGTTTTGATACCCTTATTGAGCTTATCTGTGGTTTCAGAATATAAGACAGCAGGAATTTCAGAGAAAACATAGTAGTGCTTGTAACTAGTTTCTTCAGCTCCAACAGTATCTTTTGACAGCATTTAAAATGGGGGTTGATCAAGCTATTTCAGCTCCAACAGGGACATCTTACGCAGTGGCAAATATTTCAGATGACATGGTAGTATCTAAAACATCAAGACCTGCAGCAAGTTGAATTCGTTATTGTGACATGGTCTAAAATTATATAGGCAGGTTTTTAATACTGTGGTTTCTAAGCTTGTGAATATTAGGCTGATACAGTGACACATCACTCACACTTTTAATGGCAGCTGCTGCATTTTGCCATCCTGTAAATACATAGGGAAGTGAGGGAGGAATTCAGTGGAGGTTGTTGGGTCAGCATAGCTATTTGTATGTCTTATGGGCCAGCTACTGCTAGCAGTGGATGTTGTTTACTGGTGTTTCCTGTTGTCAGCTGAGAAACTCTAAAAATAGCTGTATCAGATTGGTAGTTAATAGCAAGTATGCTCCACACTCCATGAGGGAGACAGACTCATCTGCCTAGCAAGTTTGTATGAAAAGATAGTTATGGAAAACTCAGAAGAATTACAGGATTGGGATAGATTGGAGTTTAGAAGTTAGGGTCAGAGGTCTATATTAATAGGAAACAGGGACTTTCACGTAAGTCATTAATAGCTGTATTAAAAAAGAGGGAAAAATTAGCACTGTTAATTAAAGCTCGAGTTATTTTATGCTTTAGTTAACAGTAGTTTGAAGATCGGGATAACACCCTGAGTGCTGTTTGCACTTGCTATTCCTTACTAATTTAAATAAACAAAGAATTGCACTGTGATAGAAATATCTTCTCAGAGCTGGAATTGTTGTGGTGGGTTTGTTCATTGGCAGTTATCAATGCTTTGTGTGACAAGTCAGAAGCATGCCTGTGAAGCAAGTGTTTTAAATTTGTTCATTCACTCCCAAGTCCATTTGCCAGTTCCCCTACGGGTCTTCTTTTTAGGCTGGTTACTAAGGAAGTAATTGTTTTCTCTAGTTTTGTCCAACTGGCTTTCGTTACCTCTGGCAAAATTTCACTGGTGCTGCTATTCCTTGAGCAGTGTGTTTAATCCATTGGGAAATCTCCATGTTGACTCTAGGCTTTTTTCATGACACCACCAATGCATCTCTTCAAATAGCCTAGCAAAAGGCATTTGGGATACAGGAAAATTAGGAAAACATGTGGAACATGAAAGATATCAGGAATCATAAAATCTGAGTCTAGGTGACTTTAAAGGCAGAATTAGAAAGTGATTATTCACAAGGTGTCATATGAGGAAAAAAGCAAATACAAAGAAGGACAGGGAAAAAGCAGACATTAGAGATTTTCACAAAAATATACAGGTTGTTTTCTTGCTGGATGTCTCATTTTGTCCCTTCAGCAATTTGTGTGTTTGATTATCTGAAAAGAATGGTCAATTTCACTGAGATGTAAGACTGGAACTTTGCTGCAAAAATTAGCAGATAAAACAGTCACTATGATTTTCCAGCCATTTAGTTCTTGCAAGGATGCCTCAAATTAGAGTACTCTGTATCATTTAGGGCCACATTTCTGCAATAGTACAAACTTTGCCTGTAGTTTGAGGCAGTTTTTATTATGGTGTACAAGGAAAGAGAGGCCAGAAACATGATGTGTACGTTGTATTATCATTGAAATAAGACTTCTCAAAACAGGTTTATCATTTATGAAACTGGCCTGCTTTGGAGGATTTGAGGGGGTAGTTTTGTAGCGTTTGGGTTTTTTTCCTTTGTTTTGGTAATCCTAATGCTTCTGCAGCCTGAATGTCAGTTCAAAATCTGGGAAACAGATACAAAATACTAGAGGAAAAAGTTTTGGCCGTGTAGGAAGATCTCACAGAATATAGATGTTTCTTCTTTCTTACAAGAGACAGTGAAAAGCATTATCTTGTTTGAATATAGAAATTTCAATTTGTTTTTCCTGCAGAATTTGAACCACATTAGCAAGTTTACATAGTGTTTGAATAGTGTTCATTAATGTCAACTAAGGATTTGTAAAGAAGAGATTGTTCCAAACCAATCTAATTTTTCTGGTATTGGAGTACTTGCCTCAGAGAAAGACAAGAAAGCTTGACTTCAGCTTTCTCATGTGACAGTACCATTAGGTAATGGGGGAGAAACAAGGGAACAAGGGCTCCAGACAGCTACTAATAAGTGGGTGCATAATTAGTTAGAGAACCAGAGTAAGAGTGTAGTATCAGTATAGTCTGTTAAAATTCATACCCATCATGATGCTTCAGAGAAATCATGCTGGTACAAAAATAGGATGTAGTTCAGCAAGGATGGACAAACTTTTTTGTTTGCTTTAGAGAGGAATACTCAACTTCATAATTACAGGATGGAGAGTGACTGATCAGGCCCTGCAATAAAAAACCAAGCAAAGAAACAAGTGGTGGGGTGGTTGTCATGAGGCAACACCTCTCTTGTTTGATGCCCAGAAGACAGAAGTATGTTCATAAGACACGAAGTAATTCTTCCTGTAGACATCCTCAGTAAAGGCCTTGGCTTTTTCTTAGATGGCTGCACCTCCAAAGGTACCTGTCTTTTGTGTGAGTGGACATTACTATATTTAATCTGGTTATCCTTAGAAGTTTTTTCCCCAGATACAATTCCTTTTCATTTCCCCAGTGTCCCTGACCAGGGAGGAAGTTTGAGGCTGCAGTTTATGGTGGGTAAGCACTTTAAAAAAGCCAGCACAGGGTCAGGGAGGATAGTAAGAGGGAGTGCAGACCCAGAAGTCGAGGCAAAGGTCACCAAGCGCATACGTCCTATTCTGGAGCAGGATGCCAGTTCCATGGTACTCGGCTCACCACTGAAGGTAGAAGAGGACCCTTTGTAAGAGGTTGTCAAGAGTGGGGAGGGAGGTGTTTTCATATAATTTTGTCTTTGCTTCACAGAAGAATGGCAAAGGGCTTGTGCTGTTCAATGTGGAAATGGAGAAAACTGGCGTGGTAAGAAAGAACCTCTGTTGGAATTCAGATGTTGCCTGGCCTTTTGTTTTACCTCCAGTTGTTTGAAGCATCTTCCACTGTTACTCTGAGGTTCCTAGGGGAGATGCGTTGTTTTTTGTAGATCTCAAGAGTTTTAATGGCAATCTTCTGTCTTACTTTTCTGAAAGAGGTTTTCTAGTTCAGGTAAGGAGTATTGCTGGGATTCGTTCTGTTTGCTTTCTGCAGGGAGTTAAAATGCATAATTACAACATTCCCCGGTAACATTGTAGCTTATAAACATATCAGGTAAATGAATTGGATTATTCTGAGATCTAAGTTGGACATAATGTGTGTAGTATCAGTTCCAGCTGAATAAACACTGGTCTGATATTTATGATGTCACCCTTGAGCCTGTGTTGGTTTTAGTAGGCTTTTAAATTTTCATGTTCAGAAATGTAAAATAGTAAGCTCAATTGTGCTGAGGAGAGAGAAGCTGATCTTGTGGTTTAAAGTGCAGAACTGGAGGTGGGGAGTTTTAGCCCCATTAAGAATGTGGGGAGGCGGGGGGCTGTTATTTAGTAGTGCCCTTCAGTTTGCTGATTCATAAAAGGAAGACGATGCTGGTATCTCTTGTCAAGATCTAAAAAAGCATCTTGAGTACCTTGGGTATCTACGTCAAATGCTTACATTGTTTGTATTTGCTCTAATATCTTTTAGAACAGACACACCACAAAAAAGGTGTATAACTAGCACATTTCCATAGTTTTCTTTGTGGGGGGCTGTGTTTATGAAAGTTGCTTCGCATCAGCTGGTCCTGTTAAGTAACATAGGTGGCTTAGAAAAAGAGATTAAAAGCAAGAATATATCAGTAAGGTTATATTCAAAGTCTTTAGAAGTAAACGAAAAAGGTAGTTTTGATCTCTTTGGAGAGTTAAAACTCCAGAGGAGGAGCAATGTGAGGAAAGAGGTTTAAAGCCTTTAAAAAAATACAACCATTAGTTCTAACAGAGAAAGTAAAGTAAAAGAAGCTTTGCCCAGTAGCCAAACTCACCCGTCTTCCCAGAAATAAATATTGAAGGTTTAAAAACATTCAGAATTCAGAGAAAATTTGTAGGTGCCAGCAGTATTAGAAATACAGCTGCTGCTATCAATGTTAAGTATTTACCGCAGTTATTGTGAAAGCCTTTCTGGGAGTTCACCTATTGCCAAGTCAAGCAACTGAACTATGGACAAATAGTTTTGTATTCCACAGGCTCTAGGACTTGGAACATAATGTTAGTGGTTGACACTCTTTCCTGGAAAATGAAAGTGTAAATTACTTTAAATCCTCTTTTTTCTTTTTTTTTTTTAAGCAACTCACCCACCCTCTGACATCCATAATGCACTAAGCAAAAATTAAAATACATCTAACGAATATCCATGTAGTTTGGTGTACCCTCTACCTCTGCCTCCAGTAGTCTTTATTCCTAACCATTTTGAGATTCTTAAACCACTGCTTATTTCTCATCATAAGTGGTTTGGGCTTTTTTCCCCTCACCCTGTGGGAAGGTTTCTGAGAGACCTACCTTTTCAAAGTTTGGAAGAACTTTGGAAGATAATTTCTTTTGTGCAGGGATACCTGCACACAGTGGAACAGGCTGAGTGATTATTTCATTTTTTGGTGTGTGTTCTTAAACCATTACCACAGTGGCTGAAATCCCCAGAGGAGAAGATTACCTTAATACAGAAACAGTGGTGGTAAATTCCTCCTTTATACAGGTTGATAACTGTTTCTGCTTTTTGTTTCAGGTTCTCCTTGATGAGCTTTCATCCACTAAATACTGGGTATCCATGCATGTCTCAGACCATAGTGGATTTCATTACCGCCAGTTCTTACTCAAGTCCTTGATAGGCAGAACTGTGACTGACAATAATGTACTGGCACAAAATCAAATCATAAATGAGCAAAACCCTAGCCTTCAAAAGGAGGAGGAGAGTGCAGGGGCAGAAGCTGCCTGTGCAGAGGAGCAGAGCGTGGATCTCCCCCACCATTTAGAGGAAGAATTGGAGCTCTGCACTGAACTGATTGACAGTTACCCAGGGCATGAAACCTTGTGGTGTCATAGGTAAGAGAACTTGGTCAAAAAAGCATCCTTCTATTTGTGGATTGTTCTTTCCCTGACGTTTCCAGAGAAATTGTTCTGATTTTAAAAGTTACCACTCAATAAAAAATTTCTAAGCTACCATATCTTGAACCTTTGGAAAACATTCAAGACCATAATCAGAGCTATTGAATGGAATATTTGATTTGGCTTAAGTATCTTGTTGATGTAAGCTCTACTTGTCCCTATAGTTTGTGCAAGAGACACAAGATAGTGTTAATCGGCTTTTTCACACTTAAAATGTTTAAAGGGCAAAAGATGAGCAAAAGATAGGCAGAAGATGGGTCAGCTGCAGAAAACCTCTGGTGTATACGTACGTACATACATACCAGCTGGGTGTATGTACCTGCAGATTTGCCAAAGTAACACTGAGCCCTTTTTTGTAGAGTGTGAGCAATGACAGCAGATTTTCTGTCTGTTTGTGGGGGAATCTGGTGGGATGGCAAATGAACTGAAGCAGTTCAGCAGCAACAGCAGATTATTTTCAGTGCATGACTTTTTTTTTTTTTTTCCTTTTCTTTTTTTTTCTTCCTTCCTTTTCCTCTGAAGAAGGTGTGTGTTCTACCTTCAGCACCACCTAAGCAACAAAATTCCTCTTCTGAGTGCAGTGGTATCATCTGTGGACAGCAGTGATGAAACTCTGAATAATTCCCACCACAGTCCTGCAACAAGTCCCATGGCACAAGCTATGGATGTTGATGGTTTGAATGAATCCAGCAGCAAACAAGGTTATACCCAAGAAACAAAACGCCTGAAGCGTGCTCCTGTGCAGGACTCTTTTGGTCCAGAAGTGGAATACCGGTTCATTGATAAAGTATTATCAACTTGTAGGGATGCGGACCAAGCCAGGTTTGCTACTGCTTATAGGAAATGGTTAGTTACTTTTTTAGGTCAGTGAAGGAAGAGTTTAAAGCCTTCAGGGTTCTTTTAGTGCAATATTCTCTTTTTAGACACAAATGCATGTCTTGGTTGCAAGTGTTAGCTAACCGTGTGTTTCTCAATCTTTTAATGGTCAGTCCTAAAGTTCATATTCAGATTAGAAGTCTCTCACTTTATTTATTAAGGAACTGGCATACCTTTGTATTAATCAAATGCAGTTTGTTCTTTAATCTTTTTAAGAAATCACTTTGTCAGCTTCCTACCATGCCATTTTCTTATTTTCTAACTTCTGCATTAAGGTGGACTCTGAATCATTTGGCTTAAAAAAACAAAAAAAAACCACCAAAAAAAAAAAGGAAAAAAGTCCCAAATGCTTTTGAGACAGCGTGTCTGGAAAAAGAATAGGAGGATCTGTCAGTATCAACTAAACCTGTTTCCAGGTTGCTCCTCTTTACTATAGTGGCATCTTGCTGATACATTATTGGATTCAGACTATATTGAGTGCTATTACTTTTGTATTAGCAACCTTTCGTAGAACACCAGGCTGCAGTGTTTCTTTCTCAAGGCTCCAACGCTGTTTTCCAACACCTTTTACTATTATAACTATTCTACTATTGTAACTGGATTTTTGCTTGCTTATTAGTTGTCACATGAATTTGATAGGAATGTCTGTGAAGTTGAAATCCTGAAAAGCAGATAGAGGAAAATGTGACACAAAATAGTTCAAACACCATTCACGCTTACACTTACATTCAATGTTATGTTTGGAAATACTTTTCTTAGAACAGACTGCTTTACCTTTATTTCCTACTTGGTATTTATTTATTTTATCTCAACAGTCCAGAATTAATGGCACTTGATACACATTTCTGAATGTATTATGTATACTGCAGAATCTCAGCCTGCTAAACCACACATCGGTAACTTGTATTTAACCAAGACCATACAAGTCCACTAGATGATGGGAGTAAAAACTCTTCTGACTGGTCACTGAGACTATACAATTTAAAAAAAAGACAGCAGGAGGGAGCTATCTCTTCACTTTTGTTCTTTTGCAGAGCTTCAGTCTTTGAGGTTTTTTTCAACTCTTCCTTAAAAGCACTTCTCCAACCATACATCTCTGTTTACATTAACTGTAAATTTTAAGGGAATTTGAAACACATTTCTACTCCAGTGAAATGAAACATGAATGGTTTATTTTGTCATTTCCTTAGAACTTGTCTATATAAGGGATTTTTTACACTAATGGAATTGTGCTGGTCCAAAGACCCAGGGGAGAAACATTGTACAAGTGTAGAAGCTTGTACAATGGCAACATCACCTCTGAACAGACTATTCACTGAGGGGATTAGATTTTCAAGCTAGAGTCTTTGCCAAGATTGCTTTATGTTTCTCCTGCCCAAAGTGCCTCCTGACTGTGATAAGATTCAAGCTGCTGTTTCTGTTGGGCAGAGAGAGCAACAATGAGGGAGAAAAAAACCAGGTAGCCTGCTCAAAGGTATAATTTGCAAGGAAAAAAGGCACTTGAAACATGCAGAATTCCAACAGTTTTAAATAATTTGATGGATGGGGGTTACTCTTGCATTTCAAAATGAAAATAGACCACCTCTAGTCTTAGAGAGTATGGTCGTAATTCATTTCAGGCACAAAGTAGCTAACAGAGACATTTATAAATGTACACTCTTCCATTTACAGTATCTAGATAAGACTGACATAGGCTTTAGCATCTCCATGGCAAACCTTTGTCCCAGTGGGCATCCACACCTGGCTCTGTATAGCTAGGAACGACTTACACGCCTGTTTGTTTTGAAGTACTCAGGGATGTTGTCTTGGTTGATGGTTTTAGTTGCAGAAGAACGTAATCAATGTGTGAAGGAGGTGTGGGAATGGCTTGAGAGGATAATTTTGTCATAAGATTCTGTCTCTATTGACCACTGACAAATGGGTAGTTTCAGGTACAAACCGGAGTCTGAACTTAAGTTCTTAACTCAAGCAAGAACTTTTACCCATCCCAGTGGACTTGATGCTCTTTGATTATGAAAGATACATTAAAGCATATGTAGAAACCTGGGTCAGCTTTATTAACAATATCCCACTAATGAGTAGTATGAACCTGGGAAGTATGAAGTCAGCTGGCAATGTATTAAGGATTATGTTCTTGGTTCTGGATTACTTAGTAATGTAGTTATGTATTCTGTTTACCTTGGCAAAAATTACCTGTTCATGAGAAAAATTTTAGCGGCAGGAGCAGACTGGGAAACGGGAGCATGCTAAGAAGTATTTCTTGAACTCTGGAAGGGAAGACGTGCTCTCTTCTTGCACTGGAATGACTGAGGTTTTTAGAGGAAAAAATTTATATTAGAATCTGGCTTGAAACCCGTTACGTATTTCTTCCAGACTATAATCTGAAGTCTTAGTTGGCTTTCTTAGAGCTATATCGTGGAAGTACTGTGCTATTGAATTAGACAATCTTTCCATCGTGAGCACTTAAGATCAGCTGCCCTCATATACAGGTATACAGTTCCTATTCATGTCAGCATGAGTTATGCGTGCTGGTAGGAAGACAAGATTTGGTCCTATGTAGCTGAACAGAGTTGCATTGTATTTTCATACTTGGAAAATGTTCTGAGAGCTCTGATTAAAGATGACGCTGATTTTTTTAGTACTTTTACAAAACACTGATGGCTGTAGTACGACTCTTAAGTGTGAGTTTTTAAAGCCTACACAATAAAAGTGAAATTGAAACAAGTCATATCTTCCGCTTTGAAAGAAATGCAAACAATAAGCCGTCTAAATGGAGCTTTAATTTTTTCATGGTAACAATATAAATTACATGAAAGAAGAAATTACATAACTAAATTACTTCAAGCTGCCAATGTCCTGAAGCCTCTTATGTGAAATAATTGAAGAGATGCTTCCAACAAATTGCATTAAACTTACAACTGTGTGATGTTCTGGCACTATGATCTTTGAAACATACCTGTCTAACCATTCAGTATCACTGCAGAGGCCCATGTGGGCACCAGCTTGAAGAAAAGTGGCTTCAGGCCATTGGTAGTTAACATGCATAAAGGTTACCAAGTACAGCTACTGTGTGTCAGAGGTTTATAATGTAGTCAGTGAACATTCCTGCAGAGAAAATGTCCAACAGAAGCTGCAGAATACAAGGCTCTCACTCTGAAGTTCCTTCAAATATAAGATCAAACTTTGTAAATGTCTTCATATAAAGTTCAGCATCTTTACTGATTTTATCTTCTGCTATAGTATGTGTCATTTGAATTTATACGAATTCTTTTTGTTCACTGGATTAGTCTTTGCAGAAATTTTTTTGTGCTAGAAACAAAGGGTTTTGAGGAACAAAAGTAATTTGAAACTACAGAAATTAGAATAGAAGGAATCACATTTTTAAGGGGTTGAATTCTCTGCTGCTAAATACATTCACTGTTATTTCATTGGCATTTGGTTTGTCATGTGTTACAGTCACTGGAGCAACACTTGCAGCATTAATGACAGCTACAATATACAAAAAACTTATATAAAGTTGTTATTGGAATGCATTGCTATAGCTGCTCTGATTAATATTCGTTAATCTACTCATGCCTGCTTATTAAGTGTTTTATTGACTTCTTACATATTCTTTACACAATCAAACCCTTGTGTCATTTAAATAGGGGGAAAAGTAAATTGTCAGTTTATACTGTTTGATTAATTACCTTATGTAGAACTTGTTTTAAGACAAGCAGAGTGATAATATAGTGAGAAAGCATAGATTCAGTCTTACAATCAAAATATCTGGCATTTCCAGTTTTGTGTTAGTGCTGCTTAATTAGAATGTGTAGCTAGTCTTTATGAACAGGAGTGAGTTTTTTCTGAAGTAGATAATTAATGAATTTTTAAAATAGTACTGTATAATATTGATGACCAGAAACAAAGGGGTTTGGAAAGGCTCATCTGCATAGCTGGACTTAACAAGCATACTTTTTCAGAATAACATGTAATAGAATGCACAAAATGTGACTACCAGAGAATAATTTAAGTGGTGAGTCTTCAGAGACTTGATGATTGAATTTTTGGACAAGGTTGGTTGCTTAGTTTTGTTTTGCCTTCTGTGAGGAAAGAATGTTCCTTAGTTTTTTTAATTTAATAGGAAGTGAAATGTTGCACTTAAAGCATGGGGAAAAAAAATCCCTCAACTCCTGAGCTGTATCTTCTAGAGCAATTTTGGAAAAAGCAGTGAAGTGTAGATGTGACTTTTAAATGCATGTTTGTCCTGTATTCATTTGGTGATGAGGGGTCTTTACAATTAGATCTTACTGTTTTATTTATGTCAGATGTAAAGGAAAGAGGGTAACTCACCTATTCTCAAATGCACTTAACATTCAAGTTAGTTTCAAAGGAAGTTCAGTGTCCCTGTCTAAGATAATTTTCCTTCTTTTTTTTCCCTATGTGCTGAGGTGTGTTTCCTTCCCAACCTCTTCTCTGTTCTTCCAACCAGCAAAGAAGAATGTAGCAAAGCATTGGTGAGGTGGCCTCTTTTCATGTTTAGATAACTCTGACTACCTCCCAAAAAGTGCTCTGATTGATGTCCTGAAGTGGAGTTCATCAGGCTCAATTTTTTCAGAACCTCATGCTAGGCCTACATCCTCTTTGAGAGGTGAAATGCAAGAGCTTTATCTATGAAGCCATCTAGTTTCCCCAGGAGAGTTTAAAGGAGAAAAGCAAAAAAACCCATCATGTAGTTAAAGTTGGGAAAACTAGAATTAGCATAAACTTTCATTAGTCTTTTCCTCTGAAGAGGCAATGTATTGCTGAAAAATGGAGGAAATATGTGCTTCCAAGAAATTCCTTGTAGACAGTTTATGCTTTTGAATTATAGACCTGACACTTTCTAGTGGCTTTTACTTAGTGTGTAATGTTACTTCTCAGGGCATAGTGTATTGTAGTGAATTAGGGTACATTTTTACAGTTTATAATTATTGATTTTAAGAAAAACCCATAAATACTAAACACGTAATAACTGGCTTTTAATTTTTTTTTGTCTAGCATAGCATTTTATATCTACCCACAAGCTAATGCTGTTCCTAATGATTCACACTAGACCTTACCATGTCATCTGCATCATATTGTTATTCTGTATCTTAAATTGCTGTTGCAGTCTTGCAGGAAGCTCCTGACAGTTTCTGGGTTTCTTCTCTGGGTTCCATAGTACTATTCAGTAGGATATTCAGTAGTATCTCACAAAGACATATGTTGTTGTTGTGGTTTAACCCCAGCCGGTAACTAAGCACCACGCAGCCGCTCACTCACTCCCCCCCCATCCAGTGGGCTGGGGGAGAGAATCAGAAAAAAAAGTAAAACTCGTGGGTTGAGATAAGAACGGTTTAATAGAACAGAAAGGAAGAAACTAATAATGATAACAATAACAAAATGACAATACTAATAAAAGGATTGGAATATGCAAAAGAAGCGATGCACAATACAATTGCTCACCACCGGCCGACTGATGCCCAGTTAGTTCCCGAGCAGCGATCTGCGCCCCCCGCCCAACTCCCCCCAGTTTATATACTGGCCATGATGTCACATGGTATGGAATACCCCGTTGGCCAGTTTGGGTCAGGTGCCCTGGCTGCGTCCCATACCAACTTCTTGTGCCCCTCCAGCCTTCTCGCTGGCTGGGCATGAGAAGCTGAAAAATCTTGACTTAGTATAAACACTACTCAGCAACAACTGAAAACATCAGTGTGTTATCAACATTCCTCTCATACTAAATCCAAAACATAACACTATACCAACTACTAGAAGGAGAATTAACTCCATTCCAGCTGAAACCAGGACAGTTGTAATGATGGGGAAGCTTTTTACCCTATCTGTGTTGATGCATTGTGTATCTTAGATTTATTTTTTTAAAAAACTTTTGTTAGGAGTCTGAGTACTAGAATTGCAAAAGCTTTTAGTTGTTGATAGCTGGCAGGTGGTTGTGTACAATACAACTATTCTGAAGACCAGAACTCTTAACTGAAGTCTAGTTTATTAAGCATCTTTATCTGCACCATCTGGAACCTGCTGTTAATCCTACTGTATAGATGGAGGTGGGGAGAACCCACAGTGAAGTGCATATTTCCTTCACAGGACACTTTCTGAACAGAATATAATTCTGGTAAAACAAAGAGCTTTTCTTGGATGAGGTATTCCTGTATGTTCATTGTAAATAAAGTTATGAAATTGGTATGTTATTAATACGGTAAGATTTCCTGGGTGGCTGCATAGAATGAATAGATTAATGGGTTTTTTTAACAGAGTATTACCTGTTAGTGAAAAGTCACATAAATGATACAAGGTACCAGAACTTGTTTTTACAAGACAAAATATATTTATACCTACTGTGTTCATTCCCTTTTGTTCCAGTTTTTATTTTTTGAAGTGGCTACATTTAAAACTGGGTAGTCATCTTGAAAAGTGTGCTTGGGAATGTCATCTTTAATTTCATATAATAGGAATATCTGTCTTAAATGGTTTTAAGTAGCATTAAGATCCAATGTAGTGACACCACTACAGTATTCAAGTTAGCCATTAAACACT